CATGGGCCAAAGCTTATGGCATTAGTGTAATTACATTCAAATATTATTTAGCACATGTGCACTGTAACACCTCGAATTTCGTTTTCGGAATAATTAGAAAACTTAGAGTGTTGGGGTTTATACTGGACAATTCTCACTTGAGCGAGAGGATCTCGCCCAAGCTAGAGATTCAGTGTTCTAATATGAGTTTTTCTGGGAACCTCACTCAAGCAAGGAAGTGGTCGCTTGAGCGAGAGAGGTCTAGGCAGGCTGTGAGATTCTCGCTTGAGCAAGAAAATCTAGCCCAGGCGAGAGCATCAGTGTCTGGAAATTTTAAAAGTCGAGGACTTCTTTCCCACGCTAGCCATTCTCGCCCGGGCGAGGCTACACAACTATAAAAGTGAAAAAGGGGATTCAAAAACCCTAATCTTCATTTTGTTTCTCCTCCTCTCACTCCCCACGACGGATACACATATAACTCGTGTATCCCCTCCTCTAAACCTTTAAAACTCATCAAACCCTCTTCCTCTTACTTCTTAACGACACATTGGTGGACTTTGGAGGTGAAATGAGAACGTTGAAGATTGAAGGACATGGTGGGAGATGTTGCTCTTTTGCGGAACCGTAGAGCTTATGCAAACTCACGTGAGGGAGAAGACCATTGTGGTCTTAGAGTATTTCATTAGAGTTAACTTCGCTGATTTCCCTCAAGAATCGGAGAGTGTCGTTGGATAGAAACTCCATTGGAAGCTTGTTTTTCCATGTGAGAGTATTTGTCTTCTATGAAAATGTATTAGCCATAAACATGAAAATCATGTTGTCAAACTAAATGTGAAATACTCGTTTATGGTAATACGCCATCATGAAAGATTCTTCTATCTTTATTTGTGGGTATGATTGATGATATTGTGATAAAAATGAGATGATTGTGTTAGGTGATAATGATTATGTTGTGGGTTACTTTATTGTGGTAAGATATATATTGCGATTGTGACATGGAATTGGTATTTTGTGAATGACATTGATGATTTTGTTATGGTGAAGTAGTGATATTAGAATAACATAGTGGACGTGATTATATTGTGAATGATAGTGGAAGTGATTATATTGTGAATGATCTAGACTGATAGTGAGAGTGATACGAGGAATGTACAAGTTTTATGTGGTTTGAAATTGAATATCTTGGCTCCCCTATGCGGTGTAGCACACTTTGGCTCAAGTTATGTAGCACACTTTGGCTCAAGTTATGTCGCACACTTTGGCTCAAGTTATGTAGCACACTTTGGCTCAAGTTATGAAGCATATATTGAATCGCCTTTATGGTGTAGACTTGCAGTATGTGGTATTGAATCGCCTTTATGGTGTAGACTTGCCTTATGTGGTATTGAATTGCCTTTATGGTGTAGGCTTGTCCTATATGGTATTGAATCGCCTTTATGGTGTAGACTTGCCCTATGTGGTATTGTATTGCCTTTATGGTGTAGACTTTTCCTATGTGGTATTGAATCGCCTTTATGGTGTAGACTTGCCATATGTGGTATTGAATCGCCTTTATGGTGTAGACTTGCCATATGTGGTATTGAATTGCCTTTATGGTGTAGACTTGCCCTATATGGTATTGAATTTCCTTTATGGTGTAGACTTGCCCTATGTGGTATTGAATTGACTTTATGGTGTAGACTTGCCCTATGTGGTACAATATTGCTTGGAAGTATTGTATTGTTTTGGAAGTGTTGTATTGCTTGGAAGCATTGTATTGTTTTGGAGGTGTTGTATTGCTTGGAAGCATTGTATTGTATTGGAACTGTTGTCTTGCTTTGGAAGTATTGTATTGCCTTCGGGTATGGAGTTGTCGTTGGGTATTGTGAGTCATATGGTATTATGATCTTGATGAAGATTGAATTGGATAAATCGTATAAGTAAGTTATAATAGATACTAATTGAAGACGTGAATATCCTACGGTATGTTGTATTGATTGGGTGTATCGTTTGTATATGTTGATATGGTTGATTTTAGTTGATCTATAGGTTGTAGCACTTTAATGTTATTACTATATGTAATTCCACGTTGCTATCGCCGTAGTTGGTTCTTACTCCCTTCTGTCCTTTCTTTGTCTATGTTATGTATATGAGTTCAGGTTGTTGTTGTTGCACCTTCGTGTCTACTGACGGGAGTACAGACTAGAGTATTTATTTATGTGGTTGAAATTGTAATTGTATAATATATGCAATATGAGAAATATGTTGGAGTAATTCCTTTTGTTTAAATGACTCCTTTCTAAAGATGTAATAAGGTTAGTTTAATGTATTTAATAAATGCCTTATTTGAAAAGGGGATAATTGTATAAATTATGGATTTGAAATTGAGTGAGATGACATGTTTTGTTGTAAAGACACATTTAAATATTTATGTATCTTGAATTATGAATCTTAATTATATTTAAATCCACTCAGGTTCTCTAAATCAGTTAAATAATATCTATCGATAATATTTCATTTCACCTTTCAGAATAAAGTTTTAGAATTTGGGGTTATAAAATCAGGTCGTTACATGCATAAGCTGAGGTAGCCATATTAATGCTTCCAAAATTCGAATTCAACTCTGGCTGAAGATATGGGTTGTTGGGCGGGTCTTCAACCTTGTGTTTTCAAGCTGAGTTAGCTAAGTCTTGTTGAGCCAAAGGCTGGCTGAATCATAGTTGAGCCAATTAATTTTGTCTTTAATGTTAGGCTGAGGGTCAACTAATGAGGGTTGGGCGGAAGACTTGGGCGTGCTTTTAATGCTTTGTGGAAGAGGTTGAGTCGGTTTTAATGCCTAGCTGAAGACAAGGCAGGCTGGTCATATTTTGAAAGTCAGTTGATGAAGACTGGGCGAAAAATCTAGGCGTGCCTTCAATTCCTTGCTGGAGAGGTTGACTCGGTTTTAATGCCTGACTAAAAACAAGGCAGGCTGGCCATATTTTGAAAGTCAGCTAATGAAGGTTGGGAAGAAAATATGGGCATGCCTTCAATGCCTTGTTGGAGAGGCTGACTTGGTTTTAATGTCTGGCTGAAAACAAGGCGGGTTGGCCTTCTTTTAAAAGCCAACTAATGAAGGTTGGGCAGATAAAATGGTAGGCACATTGAATGACCTTCACACTTGGCCTGGTCCTTTGCTTTGGGGCGGAAATAACGGTATGTAGGTTGAATGCTTGAAGACCCTGGCTGCCTGGTCAGATTTTGATGCATTAGCCACGTGAATGACTTGGCTTGCTTGGCCTCTTAGTTGTGCACCTGGATGCTTGCCTTTTGTCTAACCGTGCCTTGATGAGTCATCGTTATGATTCAAAATCTAACTCCCATTTATTGGCATGGTTTCCCTTTAAAGTTATGAGCCTTCTGTGAAATATGACTTTGATGGTCTGGCCGAGTTCCAAGCTAGTTTAGGCTGGTCAAGACATCTCCATAGCTCTTTCTTCATATGGAAATCATAGGTTACATGGCCCAAGGCCAATAATTAACTCACACGTCTATAAAGATTAAATCATAAACTAAACTTATTGTCCAAGTAAAATAAAACATAAAATAAAATAATGGTGGGACATAAGACCCCCACTTATTAATGCAAAATAGAGTAAAAAGCACTAATCCCTTAAGGAAATGTTGCCTCCATCGGGTGGTTCATCTAGTTGTATAGCATGCTTGATGGATTTTTTGGCCTTCTTAGGCTTGGGCCTAGGCGGGTTGCTATAAGCTACCGTGGAAAATACTTTATTTGAAGGTGGTGATGGGGAAAATACATTTTGTCCTTTTAACCCAACCCAAGATGAAGAAACTTATTCAATGGTCACCGCTAACAAGTTTTGGTCCCAAATCTTTGGGTTTGCTTTTTCCAATAAACTTTGGTTATATTTCTTTATGTTATTTGTACTAATAACCGGTTTATGGATGATTTTTCATGGAGTAGTCGGTCTAGCCCTGAACCTATGTGCTTATGACTTTGAAGGTATTCGTGCGTGGATGGCGGCTTAAGATCAGCCTCATGAAAACCTTATATTTCCCTGAGGAGGTTCTACCACGTGGAAACGCTCTTTCATGGAACATTAGCTTTAACTGGTCATGATCAAGAAACTATCGGTTTCGCTTGGTGGGCCAGGAATTCCCGAATTATCAATTTATTTGGTAAATTGTAGGGGGCTCATGTGGCCCTAGTCGGATTAATAGTATTCTAGGCCGGAGCAATGAACCTATTTCAAGTGGCTCATTTCGTACCTGAAAAGCCCATGTATGAACATGATTTGATTTTACTTCCCCAATTAAGCTACTATAGGTTGGGGGTAGGTACTGGGGGAGAAGTTATAGACACCTTTCCATACTTCGTGTATGGCATACTTCTGGGACCTGAGACTCTTGATGAATCTTTTCCATTCTTTGGTTATGTATGGAAAGATAGAAATAAAATGACTACAATTTTGGGTATTCACTTAATCTTGTTAGGTATAGGCACTGTTCATTTACTATTCAAGGCTCTTTATTTTGGGGGTATATATGATACATGGGTTCCAGGGGGAGATGTAAGAAAAATTACCAATTTGACCCTTAGTCCAAGTATTATATTTGGTTATTTACTAAAATCAACTTTTGGAGGAGAATGGTGGATTGTTAGTGTGGACGATTTGGAAGATATAATTGGAGGGAATGTATGGATCGGTTCCATTTGTATATTTTGTGGAATCTGTCATATCTTAACCAAATCTTTTGCATGGGCTCGACGTCCACTTGTATTGTCTAGAGAAGCTTACTTATCTTATAGTTTAGCTGCTCTATTTGTTTTTGGTTTTATTGCTTGTTGCTTTCTTTGGTTAACCTGTTCTTTCCATGACTCCTCTTAATTGAGACTTATGATCCAATGCTCGGCTTGGAGTAAGAATCACTTTGATTTCATAATACATATTGGGCTGAGTCAGACAGGTCATATTGAAAAAGTATTTTATTGGTTGGCTCAGTTTTTTGGGCCAACCAATAAAAAGGAATCCATTCACCGACCAAAGGGAGAGAAGGATTCGAACCCTCGATACTTCTTTGTTTCGAACTATACCAGTTTTCAAGACCAGAGCTATCAACCACTCAATCATCTCTCCAAAATCTAATTTATATTTTATAGTTATTCCACTTAATAATGTAAGGATCCAAATTTTGTCCTTTAAAATTTTCTCTTATTTTAATACATTCATGCATGTATCTTTTTCCTTTCCTTTATTTATCCTTATAATCGAAAGCCTCAAGGCTTTCCATTAACCAATCTACTTATCTCATGATCATGCTAACATGCATCGTTCATACACAAAATAAAAAATGCATAAAAACATAATTCATTTTAATTTCTCCCAGCACTTATGGCTTACCAAGAGTCATGGTTTTTCAGCATACAAATATCCATGGTTACAAATACGTTCAAATATCATGCCCATGGTTACAAATATTCAGCTCACACATAGTCAATTAGGTTACAAAAATGAAGATAAGGAATTCGGAACTAAAAGCCTCTAAGCTCCTAACCAAGACATCCTTAAATTTTCCGCCTACCTGCATTGGGATTAACATTGATAATACACAATGGAGTAAGTCGTTAACTCAATAAATGCCAATATAGGTTAATCCACATTTTAATAATGTTAAGTAAGCAATTTAACATAATAGTACTTAAAAACAATTTCATCAGTTATATATATATATATATATATCTTTGAAAATCATGCTACATAACTTGAGCCAAAGTTTGCTACATCCCTTGAGCCAAACCTTGCTACATAGCTTGAGCCAAAGTTTGCTACATAGCTTGAGCCAAAGCTTGCTACATAGCTTGAGCCAAAGCTTGCTAGATCGCTTGAGCCAAAGCTTGCTACATCGCTTGAGCCAAAGCTTGCTACATCGCGTGAGCCAAAGCTTGCTACATCGCTTGAGCCAAAGTTCGCTACATTACTTCAGCCAAAGTTCGCTACATTACTTGAGCCAAAGTTTGCTACATTACTTGAGCCAAAGTTTGCTACATAACTTGAGCCAAAGTCGCTAACCAATCATTGTCGGTTAAAAATATGTTTTCTTTTCATTGATTCACCATCAATTCATAAACAGCAATTCCACACATTCTCTCAATACGATATGCTAGTTAAAGACTTATCCTTACCTTGGTGAGTGTTGGGTTTGGTCCTTGGTATCTTTGCAAGTTCCTCCAATACCGCCTCCAATTTTAGGATCTTTCCTCATTCCCACAACGTAATAAAAATGTTAGTCATTTATTCCAAATAACACATAAATAATTCATATTTCATCTTTAACCATACAAGAGATACACACATTTTCAATGTTTCCAAAACTACCTTCATTAAGAGTTTCTAAACATCTAAAATATACATATTCATCTTATATTCAACATATACTTATCTTCTACAGCTAACATTTCACCCATTTCCCTCTTTCCTCATATTCTCATTTTGGGGGTTTTGTGGTTTTCATGAATCAACCCACAAACCCTTTCCATTATTCGAATATCAACTCTAAACCAAGAGTTTTCAAGAGAGAAACTAAATAAAATGAACCACAAATCAAAAGGAAGAGTTTCCATGGTTTCTCACATTTTGAGAAGAGATCTCTTACACCCAAATCGAGTTTGAAAGGGAGAAGGAGAGTTAGAATCAAGAGATTTACCTATTCTTAATCAACAGTCACTCATAATTACCGAGTGACTAAATTTATTTAAAATGCCTCACTTCTCCCTCACACCCGATCTATGAACAAAAGTAACATACAACATCTGATAGCAGAAAAATATAATTCATTTATATAACCTAGTAACCACCGCATACAATTAGCTATGGGTTTCCAAAACACCCATAGCTACATATATCCCGAGTTACTAGTCTCCATCATCCATATCATGTACAAAAATAGTATTTATAGTACAATTAGTAACTTCGATTACAATCAATTAAAGTTACAAAAATTGGATAAAGAGATGTCAAAAACAAAGGTCTCTAATCCCCAACTCAAAATCATCCTTCTCCGTCCACCTACCTGCAATGGGATTAACATTTACCATACACAAACAACACAAAGGAATAAGTCATTAACTCAATAAAACTTCAATGTAAGTTAATCCACATTTAATAGGTTTAAACAATGATATAAATTAAATCCTCTTAAAACCATTTTCGTCACCTGTACTTTTGAAAAACCATGCTACATAACTCGAGCTAGAGTCGCTAACCCATTCTGGTCGGCTAAAACGAGTTTTATTTCCATTGGCACTCCACAAATACATAAACCGTAAATCCACTTGTCATCACTACAAACATACCCATATATATTTGTAGTGGCTAAGTGATTTACCATCTATACTTAATTCCGAGTCTTATTTCCATTGGTACTCCCCCAATACATAGTCAATAAATGCACCCGACATCATTACAACATATCTCGTATGACTCTAACTACAAAGTGACTTACAATTTATTGCTTTATTCCGAGTCTTATTTCCATTGGTACTCCCCCAATACACAGTCAATAAATGCACCCGACATCATTACAACATATCTCGTATGATTGTAACTACAAAGTGACTTACAATTTATTGCTTTATTCCGAGTCTTATTTCCATTGGTACTCCCCGAATACAAAAATGATAAATACACCCAACATCATTACAAACATATCCACGTATGCTTATAACTACAAAGTGATTTACATTTCATGATTTCTTTTCGAGTCTTATTTCCATTGGTACTGCCCCAATAAGTCAACCGTAAATTCACTTCTAACCATTGTCAACATACTCACATATGTTCATAATGATTAAGTGATTCACATTTTGTCCATCATCCATAACAGAAAGTCCACACATTTTCCAACACAAATGCATAAATTAAAGACTTATCCTTACCTCGGTGAGTGTTGAGTTTGGTTTTTGGTGACTTCGTAAGTTCCACCGGCACCGCCTCCCAATTTAGGATATTTCCTCATTCCCACCACATAACACAATGTTAGTCATTCATTCCAAATAACAAATACCTAACTTATATTGCATCATGTACACATACAAGATATTTATCATATTTTCCATGGTTCCATACTACTTTCATTTTGAGTTTTCAACCATCTAAAACATACATATCACCTCATATTTTAGCATTATAAAGCAACTCATCTTCTACCTCTAGCATTTTACCCATTTTTACTCTCCAACCACATTTTCTCTCCAAGATTTCACCCTCCCAGGTGAACCTCTCTCGCCCAAGTGAGAATATCTCGCTCAAGCAAGGATCCGAGGACTGATACTATAATTTTCAAGACTTAAAATTTGGTGTTACAATCCTCCCCCTCTTATAAGAATTTTTGTCCCCGAAAATTTAAACATACCTCGATTCAAACAAATGAGGGTAGTCCTCCCTCATCTCTTGCTCAACCTCCCAAGTAGCTTCTCCTTCGTCCACTTGACTCCAATCTCTTTACACTGGTATCCATGATTCTCACGGGCAACGTTGCAAAAGTCAAATTATCCTTCAACTCTATCTGATCAGACTCAACCACATGAGATGGATCTCCAACATATTTCCTCAACTGAGACACATGAAACACATTATGGAGATTGGACAACAACGGAGGTAAAGCAATACGATACGCTACTGGCCCAATTCTCTTCAATATCTGAAACGGCTGAATAAATCGAGGAGTCAACTTACGGGACTTCAACACTCTACCGATACCGGTAGACGGAACAACTCTCATGAACACATGATCTCCCTCGTTAAATTCAAGAGGTTTCCGCCTCTTATCATAATAGATCTTTTGTCGACTTTGGGCGATTCTCATATATTCCCGGATTTTCTTGATCTTATCCATCGTCTCATGGACCAGTTCGGGCCCCAATATCAAGTTCTCCCCAGTTTCAAACCAACTCACTGGAGTTCTACACTTCCTACCATACAACACCTCATAAGGTGTCATCCCAATACTAGAATGGAAGCTATTATTGTAGGTAAATTCGATCAACGGCAACATGCTATCCCAACTCCCTGGTTGTTCTAAGACACATGCCCTTAGAAGGTCCTCCAATGACTTAATGGTCCTCAGCTTCAACTTAGTTCCCAAAGTGGTTTGCAAACTAGTCCAAAAGTTTGAAGTGAAACGGGAGTCACTATCCGACACAATGCTTGACGGTATTCCATGCAAGCGAACAATTTCCCTGATATACAGCTCTGCCAACCTTTCCAAAGAGTACCTCATGTTCATAGGCAAAAAGTGAGCAGATTTAGTTAACCGATCCACGATCACCCATATCGAATCATATCCTCTCCGCGTCTTCGGAAAACCAGACACAAAATCCATGGAGATACTATCCCATTTCCAAACGGGAATTTCTAGGGATTGTAACTCCCCCGCCGGTCGTTGATGCTCAATTTTTGCTTTATGGCATATTAAACAACTCGAAACATATGTTGTAACACCCCGAATTTTTAAGTCTTGAAAATCATAGTGTCATCCCTCGGACTCTAGCTTGAGCGAGAGATTCTCGCTTGAGCGAGAGAGGTTCATCTGGGAGGGAGAAATCCTGGGCTATACTGGAGGATTCTCGCCTGGGCGAGATATGTCATTCTGGGGCTGTTGCCACTGTGAGATTCTCGCTTGAGCGAGAGGGTCAGATTTGAGTTTTTAAAATGGGCGGGATTTTCTCGCTTGAGCGAGGATCCCTTGCTTAAGCGAGAACCCGACGAGACAGCATTTAATGAGAAACCCCTAAACACAATCTGGGGGTTTAGAAAAGAAGAAGAGTGAGAGAAGAGAGCTTTTCAAGGGCAAAAAGCTTGGATACTCATCTAAGAGCTTGAGAAGAGGTAAAACTCTAGATTCCAACTCTCTTTTTCTCTCTTAAACTCACTTTGGGGTATGTTGGATCTCTTTTCAAAAATGAAGAAAACCATGGAAACTCATCCTTTTGAGTGATGGTTCATTTTATGTCATTCTTACCTTGTAAACTCTTGGTTTAGAGATAGTATCTCAAGAATGGAAAGGGTTGTGGGTTGATTCATGAAAACCCCAAAAACCCTAAATGTGAAAATGTGGTAAAAGGAGAGAATGAGTAAAAT